GTGGAACAATTAAATATCTGCATGGGGAAAATTTTTTTAAATAAAAAACTAACTCTTGTTTCATCTATAAATTATATGCAAAGATAATTCATTCCCGGTCAGAGCACATGCCCGGGTGGCAGGCTCAATCCCCAGGAGAGGGTGTGCAGGAGGCAGCAATTGATGCTTCTCTCTCATCAATGTTCTTATCTCCCTTTCCCTTCTCCCTTTCTCTCTCATCAATGTTCTTACCTCCCTTTCCCTTCTCCCTTTCTCTCTCTGAAAGCAATAAAAATATATATTTTGTTTAAAAAGTCCCTCTTACCGAACGCATTTTCCGAAATGATAGAAATGTTCTGTATCCTGCTTTAGATGTTGATTACAAGGCTGTATACAACTATCAAATTGATGAAACCCATCAAAATGAGTACTTGAAAGTTGTGCGTTTTATTGTGTGTAATTATAACTCCATAAAAGAAGAATGTTTTTGCCCTAGTCGGGTGTTCAGTGGTTAGAGCATCTGCCCATGAACAGAAGGGTCTCAGGTTTGATTCTCAGTCAAGGCAGCCCTGATCAGGGCGTGTGCGGGAGGCAACCAATCACTCTCTCTCTCACACACATTGATGTTCTTCTCTCTCTCTCTCTCTCCTCTCTCTCTCTCTCTCTCTCCCCCTCACTCCTTCCCTCCCCCCCCACTTCCTTTCCACTCTCAATGGAAAAAAATATCCTCATGTGAGAACTCTGAAAATAATAAAAAATTAAAATAAAATAAAAATCTGAGTCATGAGTCACAGGATAGAGACAATTCTAAATTTAAAAATTGCAAAAAGTACAAAGAGGCTAGACTAAAAATCAAACAAAAAAATAGGCTGAGTATTGACAACCCAAATAAAATGTAATAAAATTACGTAAGATGTAATAAAATTGATATGGAACCAAAAAACGCCCTGAATAGCCACAGCAATCTTGAGAAAGAAGAACAAAGTTGGAGGGATCACAATACTAGATATCAAATTATACTACAAACCACTGTAATCAAAACAGCCTTGTACTGGCACAAGAACAGGCATATAGATCAATGGAACAGATCAGAGACCCCATAAATCCACTCAGACATTATACTTAGTATTGACAAAGAAGGCAAGAACATACTGTGGAGTCAAGACAGTCTCTTCAATAAGTGGTGTTGGGAAAATTGGAAAGATACATGCAAAAAAATGACACTACACCACTGACTTACACCATACACAACAATCAACTCAAAATGGATGAAAGACTTAAAATAAATATGTCATAAAACCATAAAAATCCT